AGAAAATAAGTCAAGATAGGTGCAAATTTGGAGCTTAGTGTCAAACAACGGTTGATACAGATGTCGCATGATTATGTCGAGTTCTTTGCCTGGTCATATGAAGACATGCCAGGACTAGACACAAATATTATGGTCCATCGTCTGCCAACTAAAGAAGATTTCCCTCTGGTAAAGCAGAAGGTTCATCGTATGCGCCCTGAAATGTCAGAGAAGATTAAAGCAGAAGTTATGAAACAATTCAACACTGGGTTCTTAGCTGTCACCTCTTATCCACAGTGGGTTGCTAACGTAGTCCCGATACCTAAAAAGGACGGAAAGGTACGGATGTGTGTGGATTACAGATATTTGAACAGGGCAAGCCCCAAGGATGACTTTCCTCTTCCCCACATTGACGTTCTGGTTGACAACACTGTGCAACATAAGATCTTTTCATTCGTGGACGGTTTCTCTAGCTACAATCAGATCAAGATGGCACCCGAAGACATGGAGAAGACAACCTTCGTCATGCAATGGGGCACTTTCTGTTACAAAGTGATGCCATTTGGATTGAAGAATGCTGGGGAAACCTATCAGCGAGCCATAGTAGCTTTGTTCCATGACATGATTCACCATGAGATAGAGGTCTATGTTGATGACATGATAGCTAGATCTCAAACCAAGGAAGAACACCTTGATCATCCACAAAAACTGTTCAATAGGTTGAAGACGTACAAGCTGATGTTAAATCTGAACAAGTGCACCTTCTGGGTAAGGTTTGGTAAACTTCTAAGTTTAATTGTTAGTGATAAGGGCATTCAGGTAGACCCTGCAAAGGTGAAGGATATATAAGAGATGCCTGCTCCTCGCACTGAGAAGGAGGTTAGAAGTTTCTTGGGACGCCTAAGTTACATCGCCAAATTCATTTCCCATTTAATTGCTATTTGTGAGCCAATCTTTAAACTCTTGAAGAAAAATCAAGTGGTAAAATGGAATGACGAATGCCAGACCGCCTCTGAGAGAATCAAGGAATACCTTTAAGAGACTCCAATTCTGATGCCTCCGATTGAAGGAAGACCTTTGATAATGTACTTAACAGTGTTAGGTAATTCAATGGGGTGTGTGTTGGGGAAGCATGACGAGTCCGGTAAAAAAGAGCATGCAATATACTACCTTATCAAAAAGTTTATCGACTGTGAAACAAAATACTCACTGCTCGAGAAAACTTGCTGCACTTTGGCATGGGCTGCTCGCCGACTGAGGCAGTATATGCTGACCCGCACTACTTTGTTGATATCTAAGATGGATCCGATCAATTACATCTTCGAGAAGCCCGCTCTCCCTGGAAGAATAGGAAGATGGCAAATGATCTTGATCGAATACGATATCCAATACACGACCGAGAAAGAAATCAAGGGAAGTGTACTAGATGATCATTTGGCTCATCAGGCTGCGGATGACTACCAGTCCATGAATTTTGAGTTCCCGGATGAGAATATTATGTTAGTGACTGACTGTGAAGAACCTGGACCAGATGAAGGACCCGATGAAGGATCCCGATGGACTATGGTTTTTGATGGAGCCTCCAACGCGCTTGGAAATGGTATCAGTGTTGTAATCATATCTCCCGAGGGATGTCATACTCCCTTCATCACCAGATTATGTTTCAACTGCACCAACAATATGGCTGAGTATGAAGCATGCATCATGGGTCTCAAAGCTGCTATTGACCTGAGGATCAAGCTCTTGAGCATTTTCGGGGATTCAGCCTTGTTAATAAGTCAAATCAAAGGAGAGTGGGACACGAAGCACCTGAATCTTATCCCTTACAAAGAACATGTGTTGACGTTGCTTCCACACTTTGAAGAAGTCACCTTTGAACATTTTCCACGAGAAGAGAACCAGTTAGCGGATGCGCTAGCTACTATGTCATCCATGTTCAAGGTCAGATGGGACAACGAGGCTCCTCAGATCACTATTGAGAGGTTGGATGAACCATCATACTACTATGAGATTGACACTGAAGAAGTAGCAGACAAACCTTGGTTCCATGAAGTGAAAAGGTATCTCGAGGCTCAAGAATATCCTGAGGGGGAGTCTGTCAATGATAAGAAGTTTTTGAGAAGGATCTCCGCAAAGTTCTTCCTCAGTAATGGAATCCTCTACAAGCACAACCATGACTCTACTTTACTTTGGTGCATAGACAAGAACGAAGCAGAGAGGATTATGGCAGATTTACACGAAGGTACCTTTGGCACCCACTCTAGTGGACACGCCATGGCAAAAAAGATCCTACGAGCAGGATACTATTGGTCCACTATGGAAGCAGACTGTTATCAGCATTCTCGAACTTGTCATAAATGCCAGATCTACGCTGATAAAGTACATGTACCTCTGGTTCCCTTGAACGTATTGACGGCTCCCTGACCTTTTGCAATGTGGGGCATTGCCATGATCAGAGAGATTAGGCCTACCGCTTCCAATGGGCATCTCTTCATCCTAGTGGCCATTGATTACTTCACGAAGTGGGTTGAGGTTGCCTCTTTTGCTACTGTTACCAAGAATGTTGTGGCACGGTTTATCAAGCATAACCTGATTTATCGGGATGGTGTTCCAGAGAGAATTATCATAGACAATGGTACAAATCTCAACAATACAATGATCACCAAACTCTGTAAACAATTCAAGATCCAGCACCATAATTCTTCCCTTTACCGGCCGAAGATGAATGGCGTTGTGGAGGCTGCTAACAAGAATATTAAGAAAATCATACAGAAGATGATGGTGACATACAAAGACCGGCATGAGATTTTACCATTTTCTCTTCATGGTTATCGCACCTTAGCACGTACGTCAACATGGGCAACACCTTATTCTCCGGTATATGGTATGGAGGCTATCCTGCCTATTGAGGTCTAGATCCCTTCTTTAAGGATCATTAAGGATGCGAGTTTGAACGAAGATGATTGGATCCAAACTCTACTTGATCAACTAAATCTAATTGATGAGAAAAGGCTTGTTACTATCTGTCATGGGCAGATATACCAAAAGCGAATGATCAAGGCTTTCAACAAAAAGGTCAGACGTCAAGTATATCAAGTGGGTGATCTAATAATCAAGCGCATCATACCGCCACAAGCTGATCCCAGGGGAAAATGGACTCCCACTACGAAGGGCCATTTGTAATCAAAATCATATTTTCTGGTGGAGCCATCATTCTGACCACCATGGAAGGTGACGACCTTCCTCACCCTGTGAATGTGGACATAGTGAAAAAATACTACGCATGAAAAAAGACCCGCTTGGTTGACTGGCCTAGGCAAAAATAAGGGCATCCTGGCGAACCAAAAGGGTTCGGGAAAAAATTAGGGATATACATATGAAAAAACTGTACACCCAGCAAGTCGAAAACCTGAAAAGGCGGCTTGGGCAAAAAAACATATCCCGGTGGACTGAAAACCCGAAAGGGTGGTCCAGGAAAAAGTTAGGGATTTGAAGCATATAACTATGTCCCATTGGATCACCTCGTGACTAGACTTCAATATCAACTATCAAGTTCAAGCAGTACTGATCAATCCAGTCAGCTTCGGACGAGTAGCAAAGTGATGAGACAGTCGAAGACATAGGGGAAATAGCAGAATTGAAACTCAATGGGATTATTACACATAGTTGTTTTCTCTTTATACACTATTTTATGTATTTTTGATTTTTTTCAACGGCGTTCTCCTACTAGAACGTCAGTCTCTTTGTTTAAAATGCCTGTTATAGGCGAACTTCAGAAATCAATACAAATCATTTCTTCGAAAGTACAAAACTCTTTGTTTTTATTTTTCTGTTTTGTTTTGCAAAAACGTCCATTGATTATTTTGACATATGCATTTGAATATGATTACTGTTCACAAATACTTACATAAAAAACAGAAAGACAGTTGCTAATGACTTTAAGAAATGGGATAAAATGTCTAAAAAGCCATTCGTAGTCCCGACAGTTACTCTTTCCAGCATAGTACGGGTACAAAGACAGTGAGATACGAAGTCACCATTACATACGACCCCGTGACGTCTATGTTCCCCACAGAGTAGCACTACAAGAAAATTAGTGTTTAACGACACAAAAATTGCGACAGTTATGTGATAACTGTCGTAATTGACATATAGAGACAGTGTTTACGACAGTTGACACCAACCGTCCCTAATATTTATTTTGCGATGGTATAATTAACCATCATAATATTATTATTACGACGGTAAAACAACCGTCGGCCCCCATTTAACACTTTTAACATTGATTTTTCACCAACAACTAGTCACGACGGTAAAATTATCCGTCCTAAAAGGCATATCACGACGGTAAAGCACCCGTCGCACCCTTAAACCTTTCACGACGGTAAAATTATCCGTCCTAAAATTCATTTCACGACGGTAAAACAACTGTCGCACCCAAAACCTTTAAAAATTCTCATGGGCACGACGGTAAAACACCCGTCGCCGTAAAAAAGTTAGAAAGCTCTTAAAATACATAAAACATCAATTCACTTTCTACTCATGTGTTCACTTTTTCTACTCACGGTGCCGTTCATGCCGTTCTTCTTCACACCGAAAGGAATCTCTTCAAACCGCTCATCTTCACACCAAAAAACGCACAGCAAGCAGTTTAACATCCTCTGCGTTCATCTCTTCAAACACAGTAAGTTTTATGTATCACTTTTTGCATTGTTCTCATCTCTCTCATTCTCTGCCATTGATTTCAGCATTGGAGATTCACTTGAATCTTATGGTTGAGCTCTTTGTGATGATTGATTTTGAGTTTGAATATATTGAATTGATGTTAGGTTTTCTAATTTGTTGTTTTAGGGTTTTATTTCTTTTTATGATTTTTTAGGTTTTCTAATTTATTATTTTAGGCATAAAACTGATATAAGAGGACCATATACTGATCCAAATGGGATAGTAGTTGTTCCTTTCCCAACCCAACCTAAGCGAATCTCCAATGCATATATGAAAGGTGAAAGATGAAGATAAATATGAAGCAGAAGAAGTACAAAGACGAACAACAATATATCAGAACCGCCAGTGGGGAAGATCTGGCCGAGAATCCATTCATAGTAGTAGCCACCACCGCAACCGACTACAACTCCGTGGAAAGTCCCTCAGCGATCGGCTTCATCCGTCCTCCATCGACTGTTACACCCACATTATCAGCATACAACCGATGGATTCGTATCAGGAAACACCGTGAACCACCTCCGCCGTTGCATCAAATTCACTTCTCCGCGTCAATTTCCCCTTTACGGTAACATTCAGTACTCTCTTTTATTTTGTGAATTGAGAATGGAATGGTGATGGTTAATTTATTATTGTGTGGTTTTAATTTAAGAGGGAGAACTTAATTTTGTTTCTTGAATCTGAGATTGGATATTTTGTTGAGAATGTTGGGTATTTTGTAAATAAAAACTATAATGGCCATTAACAACTAGACTGTTCATCCACCTCCGTGGAAAGTCCCTCAGCGATCGGCTTCATCCGTTGTCCGTCGACTCGTGGAAAGTCCCTCAGCGATCGGCTTCATCCGTCCTCCGTCGACTGTTACACCCACATTATCAGCATACAACCGATGGATTCGTATCAGGAAACACCGTGAACCACCTCCGTCGTTGCATCAAATTCACTTCTCCGCGTCAATTTCCCCTTTACGGTAACATTCAGTACTCTCTTTTATTTTGTGAATTGAGAATGGAATGGTGATGGTTAATTTATTATTGTGTGGTTTTAATTTGAGAGGGAGAACATAATTTTGTTTCTTGAATCTGAGATTGGATATTTTGTTGAGAATGTTGGGTATTTTGTAAATAAAAACTATAATGGCCATTAACAACTAGACTGTTCATCCACCGATAGCATTATTAGTATTGGGATGCTCAAACATGTCCTTCTCATAAGTTTCCATACAAAACTATTATTAAATTTGTCTTATTTACTTTCTTCTGCTATGTCATTTTCTGCACTAATAAAAACAGTGTCAATACTTGCACATAGCTCAATCAATGGGCAGGGAAAAACTGCTTCAAAAATTTCAGTGAATCTTCACCGTGGATTACTAGTTATTTTCATCAATAATCATAACTAGTGATTCCAATTTTTGATTCCCTTGATTTTCTATCATTTTTTTCTTCTAAAATTTGGCCTTTTCCTATCAATATATTATACACAGCCTAGATGCAAAAATATATACTATATGTTTATTGACAAGTTGCAATGTATAATGATTATTTTGAATAGTTAAATAGCAATACTGAAACCTGACTGGGATTTGATGCATATGAATAATATATGTCAAAAAGTTATACTACTTAATTTATGCAATAATGAGAAAAAATAACAGTCCTGTGCTTCTCTGTTAGATTTAGATTATAAAAATTTTATTCTTTCTTTTAGCTGATTCTAAACTGCTTTATTACTTCTTAAATATCCTAATCCTAAACTTGTCATCTACATACATATACATTTTTCTGTATTTGACAACCTAGCTAGATACCTAAAAGAACATTCAATTCCTGGATTCACCTAATCAAAAGTGGTAGCAAAATAGTATTGTAACAAATAGCATTCAAATTATTGTCTAACAGCAAAAATAGTTGATAAGATAGTAAACATTATCCCAGTTATTGAACAGTTCCAAAATGACTCACATCAACTTACAAGATTTTGGCGGCACTAGTTTTTATTTTAGTCTACTAACGAAAGCAATGAACAAAAACATTTCAGTTTCCAGTTTCTAGAATAAAATGTATCTTTCATCTACATTTTTAAGTTATGATAGATGAAGCAGCGACAAAATTCTTACAGCAAGTACAAGATGTTCTGTAGACCCCCGAAGCCCGTGGGGATTTGTCCACTTAATTTGTTGTTGCTGAGGTCTCTGAAAAAGGATATTCAGAATAAGTTCTCTTCAGAGAAAGAGTAAATATAGAATTTAACATAAAGAATAGTTCCCTATTCTGTGGTGAACAAAAGAATCATGTGTCATAGGCCTTTATTAAATCAACAGTATAAAAAGCAAAGATACAGAATATAAGTTCTTATATGAGCGGTTTTTTTTCATCTTAAACGTGTTTAAAAAGCCTGAAAGAAAATTTGAAAGTTATCATTCGATCAAAACTAATATAAATTGGTGAAATCAAAAAAGTGTGTGTAATATATGCCTACTGCTGGTTTTGAAAGAGAAAAGTGTGTGTAATATATGCCTACTGTGTGTAATATATATTTTATACCTACTGTGTGTAATATATATTTTAATCCTACTGTGTGTAATATATGCCTACTGTGTGTAATCTACTGGTGCTTTGAAAATATCTTTACTTAATTAATATATAAATTGAAATCATTCAGAGCTTGGATAACCTGCTAGATCGATCGGCGATGGCTTTAGACAAAAGGCCAGATGTTCGTGATGCATCTGGGAAGGTGAGTATGGAGGCCATGCTTATTTGTAATTAAGCTGCACTTGGATTACATATACTTATTCTTATTTTACTTTATAATTTTAAACACGTGTGAGGATTTGGGATTAAATCCCACCTTCACCAAGAGAGATTACTTTCTGTTATGAAAGTTCTTTGTTACGGGCCAGCCTTTCTATTGACAGTTGTCTAGTGATTAACATGAATGTTTATGGAACCAATTGTTTACATGGAACGCATAATATGTTATGAAATGTATATTTATATGCCATCTTTTCCCCTCAAATTTTATGTTATCTTATTTTGTATGGCTGTCTATTATATGTTATTTTATTCTTGCACTTGATTATTATTAAATAATAGAAGTAGTTTTTGGCTTTGTATTCTTTTGTGAGTACAAAAATATGTTTTGTGTGAATCTTGCAGGCTGCTAGGTATGCGTAGCTTGGACCAAATGGTAGTCAAGGAAGGATCATGGTCCTAGCATGAAAGTTTAACACAAAATCACTTAACACTAAGGACTTTCATGAATTTTGTAGAATATTGTAACATTTTTTGTAATTCTCTCAAGTTGTAGCAAACCAATGTAAATATTAAAATGAAATTTGGCCTTTGATGATATTTGAATTTTTCTTGTTTATTGGTAAAATTTGCACTTCTTTTTACCTTTGATCACATTTTTTTGATATTATTGATGATTATTTGATATTAAATGTTTTTATTGTAATTAACTTTATTATGTTGAAAAGTGATAGAAAATAAAATAAAAATACTATAAATAAAAAAAATTAAAGTAAATAATAATTTAAATATAATAGTAAAATATTATAGTAAAATAATATTATATTTAAAATTATTTTACTAAATAATAATTTAAATAAAAATATTATTTGAAATTTATAAATCAGATTACGACGGTTAAAACCGCCGCAATTTCTAACCTACGGCGGTAGAATAACCGTCGCAAACAACAACAAAAACAAAAAATAAAGTCAAATTCACGACGGTATATAACCGTCGCTATCTGTTGTGCGTGACAGTTTTTGCAACCGTCGCGAAATAGGCTGGGGACGCACGATTCTGCGACGGTACTTCTACCGTCGTAGATTGTAAATTGCGACGGTTTTAACCGTCGTAATCAACCAAAATAACCGTCCCAATCTATCATTTTTCTTGTAGTGTAGAAACAACCAAAGTTTTGACCTCTCCTCCCCCAAGCAGGAATTATCTCCTCCAGCAAAGTTCCTTCAGAGAGCTGAAATATGTTTTCCCCAGCCGTGTTTTATAATTTCAAATAGTTTATAAAACCTCCTCCCGTGTAAAGTTTATTTCTCTAACTACGGAAGTTTATTCCCCAACAAAGTTTATTTCTCTAGATAGGAAAAACCTTCCAACAAAGCATTATCTCTCTACACGGAGTCAATCCCCGACAGAATATCCTCAAACAGAAAGAGGAAATCCCTAGCAAATCATATCCATTCATTATCCCCAGCGGAAATGAAGGGTTCATTTTCCCAATACTCTTCAGCAGCAGTTCAGGATTTGCTTTCCCAGACTAAGAAATATCATAATAGCATCCCATATTCATAGATCATGGCATGCACATACACATGGCATACCGTATAATCTCATTTATTTTGAGAACATCATCACAATGCATTTCATACAGCATGACATTGCATACGACTAACCCTTTACCATTTTCAGGAAAGATCAAATCAACAAACACCGCTGACTACTTACATGACCTGGTAGTCTTCTCAAAAGCTACGTCTGATGAAAGACTATTTCAGCATTTTCCTCAAAAAGATGTTCTCAAAAGACCTTCTCTGGTTCAGTTAGATCGACACTAAGATCTCTCTGATTTCTATTCCAGTTGAAGATGTTCCAAGACTTTCGTCTGGTTCAGTTAAATCGATACTAAGATTTTTCTGATTTCCATTCCAGTCAAAGTTAATTCAAGACCTTCTCTGGTTCAGCTAGATCGATACTAAGATCTCTCTGATTTCTATTCCAATAGAAGATATTCCAAGACTTTTTTTCTGGTTCAGTTAAATCGATACTAAGATTTTTCTAATTTCCGTTCCAATCAAAGTTAATTCGAGACCTTCTCTGGTTCAGTTAGATCGATACTAAGATCTCTCTGATTTCTATTCCAGTTGAAGAAACTGCAAAGCCTGGAGTCCAACCAGATAGCAATTAATTTCATGTTTCTCTAGTAAGGTGCTATGAAGCCTAGAATCCGACCAGAAAATAGTTAACTTCTTCAATCACTGTGAAGCCTGGAATCAGACCAGATAACAATATAAGGTGTTGTGATGCCTAGAATCCAACCATATAGAAGTTTACTCTGTCAATTACTATGAAGCCTGGACTCGACCAGATAATAGTATGCCTCAAATTCAAGTTGAAGCCTGGGTCCGACCAAATAACAGCTTAATCTCTTCAAATCACTGAAGCCTGGACACAACCGAATAACAGTTCAAGTCACTAAAGCCTGGATTCTGACCAAATAACAATATGAGTTATTGTGAAGCCTGGAGTACGACCATATAACAGGTAATTTCCCATTTCCCCAGTAAAATGATATGAAGCCTGGAACACGACAAGATAACAGTCAGCCATATTATCCTCAACAAGTCACTGTAAAGCCTGGATCCTGACCAAATAGCAGTTCACTTCCATCTCTTCAATCAAGAGATGATTCCCCAGTAGAGTAATGGACAACTGAATCTCCTAAACTCTATTTCTCGAACAAAGACCAACATTCCTTAAGGGAGTCCTCCCCAACAACAGGAATAGGGATTCCCACAAAAGAGTATCTGGTGAAATCAACATTGTTCTAGATGGCATCTTTAAGCCCATCTCTGACGACTCTCCAGATGGCATCTTTAAGCCCATCTCAGACGAGCTTCCTTCGTCTTCTCCAAATTGCATCTATAAGCCCATTCCCGATATTATCTACACAGTCAAGTATCATTTCAGACGAGTGCAAATTTCTGGGCACTCTAGTGTTCAATCATCTTCCACCTTCAGATCACGAAAGGCAGACCAGTCAATCTACATCCTCAAGACATGTCCTTTGAGATTCCCAACTTGCCCTAGGATGACTAAGAATTGACCAGGAAAACTCTCCCCCTAAAGGAAGTGAACCTCAACTAGGGTTTCAATTTTAAGCAAGATGTTTGAGTCCCAAGGATCCCAAATATTCTCCATTGTTCTAATATGTCCTCAAGATCATCCATACCAAATTCCATTCCTTTCACAACAAGTTTGCTCAGTCAACTACTCAAATGCCTGGAAATCAACTATACTAGGTCAAAAGCCAATTGTGGCCCAAATACAGTCAAACTTCAAGATTTTTGGTCAACAAAAACATTTTAAAGTGATGTCCATCATTTGATCAAGGGTTGATCATGATTCCTAAGAAATGCTCCTAACTCATCAAAAGTCAAAAATGGCAAATTATGGTTTCTATAGGAAAAGTCAACCAAACTTTGACCAGGCATAGCTTTCTCATACTTTATTAGAAAATTTTCCACAAAGGATAATTTTGAAGAGAATCAAATTCACTAAAACTTCTCTTAATCCCTCAAGTTCAAGAAATGACCCAATCAAAAGATACAAGCTCATACATTATAGGTCCTTTCAGAAAGTCAACAAAAACACCTTTTGGGTCAAAGCTCCTTACATGAACATGGAGGATCCAATTGAGATGAAACCAAAAAGGTAGTTTAGAGGACATCCTAAGCTCTCTAACAAGTCTTAGAACACCCTTTTAGGGTTAAAAATGAGAGAGATATGCATTTCTAAAGTTGACCAATTTTTGGAAAAGTGCATGAAGCCAATGTTGACCAAACTTGAATTTTTTTCCAAATGGGCCCATGTTTTCATGCTTGAAACTTGTTTCTAACATGACCCACGACCTCTGAGCTCACTCAAACATTATTTCATTATTTTTATTATTTATTTTGATTTTTTATTCATTAAAGGTCAAAATTAAATAAAGAAATAAGGGAAATTATGTAAGATATGATTTGAGAATCTTTTTCTCAGCAAATAAGGGATACAATATGCTGGCAAATCAAAGGAAAATCGTGGAGGGAAGAAAGATTAGATTTGTTCCAAAACAAGCCAAAAATCAAATAATTGGAAAGAAGATATTTCTCATCAAAGCATGGATCTTTTACTACAATTGTAAACCTAAAATGATTTACTACATAAGCACATAAACCCTAGACCAAAAGGACACGCGCAGTAGCCATAAAAGAACCATAGCAAAGTTCAAAATTTCAAGAAAATCATGAAAATCAAAAGCATTAGTTCCAACCTTTGTTGATCAAAACAAAAGAGCCAATCTTCCTCCTGAGGTTCCAAGGGGGGTAAATCATCCCTCATACGCGCCTAAAATACCCTAAGATTTCCCAACCAGATCTCAACTTTTGTGCTAAATTCTTGGATCTCAAACTTGCATATTAAGCCGTATAAATTTTGTTTAAGATTACCTTTATACTACTGTTGATGTTTGCTGACTTTTGGACGTGTTACCTGAGGCAATAGAGGCTGAAATCATGATACACCATGGATGACCGTCGTTAAGGTTTTAAGTTTGAATCTTGCAATACGCGAGGATTTAGCCATTTTAAGGCCATATTCGTGATCAGGGGACATTTTTAAGTCAATCTGCATATGTGATTTTTTGGTTTTCTCACATTTTCAGGTGACCCCACCGGAGAAGACGGTGGAAACCACCGGCTCCGGTGGTTAGACTGGCTGGTCTTGAGTCAACCAGCTGGCGTGGCAGGAGGACAACATCCCATTGGCTGGATTCAAATGACCCTCCCTCTCTCTGCACCTGATTGGACTATTTGAAATGCAGGGAGCCCACTTGTTGGCGCGTGTTTGACAACTCAGTAGTTGTCCTTGTTTTACATTATATAATTTTGCTTTGTTTATATACATGAATGATCCAGCAACGCAGATGGCAAAAGCATAAGGGTGCAAAGGGAGAGATCTGGGTTCAATTCCCAGGTCTTGAAGTTTATTTTTTCTAATGAGTCTCAATCAGATCCAGTGTAGCCAGGCCATTTACGTGCATCATGGGCTAAGTTGGTCATCACCATTAGATCATCACAACATCAGATCCAACGCTCTAGATCTGAGCGTTCATGGTAGACCCTCAAGGGAACAATACCACTGAACCATGCACAGGAGTCTGGGATAACAATTTGGGCCTGGATAGTTTCAAACGAACTCCCCTAGTTTTGCTTTTTCACCCCCTCAGACCCATTTTTTTAATTTCTTTTTCTTTTTTAATTTTTATTTAGTTTATGTTTTTTGTTTCATCATCTTTAAAAAAAAAAATCAGAAAATCATGAAAAAATAGGACTTATAGTTTTTCTTAATAAAATTAATTTTTTTGCAAATTAATTTAATTAACTTTA